ACTAACTTATTTTAGTTACTTACCAAAAAAGTGACTTATTTTAGTTACTTTTATATTTTTGTGGATTATTTTGATTCCCAACTCAAAGGGAGATAGCAATTCACTATATAAATATGAGAGTACAAAATATAGAAAGAAATAACATCGACCAATTTTTCTTGAAGTGTAAGGAGGTTCATATAAGTCATAACGCATTCTTGTATCCGACAAATCCCCCCCCCCTCCCCACAAAACAAAAACTCTCAAAGCCTCTAGAACTATATTGTAAATGTTGATTAAGTTAGAAGGAACGAGTCTCTATTTATAAAGTCCTAATTTTTTTTTCCTACAAGAAAAGAACTAGCCAAATATGGAGACTTTATGTTTTCCTTTTAGAAAAAGGAAAGCCTATTTGTGGTTTTAAAAAAAAAAATCTTAGGGTATATACCCAACAACATGAAAGGTAAATTGACTCATATATGTCACCATGTATACATTAATTCCAATATTAATTGATGATGGCTTGATAAAAATAACTTTTCCTGAGAACAAATAACACAAGAAATTTCTTTAATTGAATTTCTTATTGATTTTTCAAAGTATGCCCATTTAAATTCTCGATAATTTTGTTCATCATGTTAATATCAAAATGGCTTACTCATTCATGTCAAATGATAAAATCATTAGAATTAGTAAATATTTTATTTTCAACATCATGTGACTCAGTGGTATCACAGAAAGAATTTTCACGACTCCTTTCTTATCACTAAGATGTCAATCAGTCACCAGGATCGGAAGAGTCCAACATCAGTTGGTAATGACCGACTTCGAAATTAGCAGGAGAACTACTTTCAAATATATCTGCAAATTTTGAAGAGCCCATCGAAAGCGACTTCCTCCAGTGCTCTCACCTGATCCTGAGCAAGAGGCCCCCGAAGAAGCCATCATGTTTGATGATGAATTGAAAAAACAATGAGATCGCCACGGTCAGCGCTCCGAAAGAGGGAAATTATTCATAGTCAGCCATGGAAGAGGGAGTAACTTTGATTGCTCAAGTTTCTTACTCATGGTTGAATGCGAAAAGAAATTTCTTTTGTTTAGCAATTTGGAGTTCACGAGTTATTATACATATATATTTATTAAATTTTCTACTATAAATTTACGAAAAAATTATTGGAGTTTGTCTAAACCCGCCAAGGCACAAAATTCCACCCAACTCTGCCCCTGGTTGTAAAATTATCAAAACGGCATATATATATGTGTGTGATTCTGTGAATCTCTAAATGGGGATAAAACTATATTGGAACATTTCGATGCCAACAAAAACCGCATATGTAAGTTATGTTGTATGTTTTTTTCTATACTGCATTTTCAGGTCCCATATAAGGAGGGATATATATCTCTTCAATAAAAATAAGTAGTAAACTAAAGTGGTGGCACTGACAGCTAAAAATGATTAAAACCTCAGATTAAGACAACTTATTCGATTTTAGCCAGACCATACAAGGATAATTTAATCCATAATACTATAAATATTGAAAATTTATAAAGAATTTTGTAGTTCTGGTAATCAAAGGAAATTTATTGTTGTGACTTGTGGTAATCAAAGGAAATTAATGGGCTAATAAAAGAGGTTAAATGGTAATGGTAATAACAAAAGAACCTGTTTCAATGTCAATAAACTTAGTCATTAAACTTAGAGAAAAGACATACAGATACCATCAAAGTTGTTCCGTAATTGCATAAAGACACCTTAACTTTTAAAATGTCTTATTACCCCACAGAACTAATTAATTTCTTTGTAAATGGGCCATTTTGACCCATTTTCTCGTCTATGTAGTGGCGCGTGTTGCTCAACTCCCTATGATCTAATTCAACCCGACCCGACCCGACCCTATTCTTTAAAGAGAAGTCATCTTCTCCGTCTCTTTTCTTCTCTGTTTGGCTTGCACCTTCAAGAAATTTTCGTTAATTTTTCTTCATTCGGATTTTTTTTTATTCAGTTATGGAGTTAGGTGACAACAAATTTGAATGTGGGATTGCTATTAGTTGCAACCCTTTTGGTAGCAAAACTCAGACCTAAATAACTCAAACATTTATGCTAACTCAGAACAAAACCTATGTGTAATACTTTCTCCATTAACCATTAATCATTTTCTTGTTCATCATGTTCCATTGGCCAACTTGTGGCAGACAATCTTTTTCTCAACCATTATAGTCAGTTGTGATGCTTAGACAGGAGCATCCATAGCTTGGAAGTGTTTACTTTGAATTTATTGAACAAGAAAATCACATACTTCATTGATCCAGAAGTTCCTCGCCAATAGTGGTGTCTTATTTTCTTAGAGAAGATGATGAAGTGGTCAAACAAAGAGTATCAACGTTGATTTTGCTATGAAAACAACTATGAAATTGAAAAATTAGGGCTAACAATGATTATTTTGGGTTTAAATTTGGGGAAGATGACATAAATTGATAAAATAATTAATAATAAAGAAAAATAATGACACATGGCACCTTTAAACTGGTCCATGGTAGTAAAAATAATGCATGACGCGCCTCATGTGCGTGGTAACAACTCAGATTAGGAAATGGGTCAAAATGGTCCATTTACAAAGAAATTATATAGTTTTGTGGGGTGATAGGACACTTTAAAAGTTAAGGTGTCTTAATGCAAATACATGACAACTTTGATGGTGTCTTTATATCTTTTCTCTTAAACTTAATCCAAGAGTAATGACAATTTTTTTAACACAAAGACGTTACTCAGATTTCCAAAATACTTTTTTTTTAAATGGAGATTATTTCTGGGAATATTATACTATTTTTTCAACTATCTCTCACATATCTCAAAATAAAATTTCTTCGTCCCTAATTATTTGTGTATTTTTTAATTGACGCACCTATTAAGAAGACAATAATTGACATAATGAGCTTATCATTTTACTCCTATTAATTATGAAATGGATGAATTGATTTTTAAAAAAAAAGTTACTTTTTTTTTTCAAAACAAGGTATGATAGGTAAAAAAAAATTATCCTTTCTTGATTTGTGAAAGTAAACAATAATTAGAAACGATTAAAAAAGAAAAAAAATAGACAAGTAATTAAAAACGGATGAATAAGGAATAAGATGAAATAAAAATTTTGTTGGGTTCCATATATGAGTGCACTTCACCAAATTTGGTCTCTCGTAGACCCTGTGAATCAGATCAATTAAACAAGTTTAATACAAAAAAATTGGTGAAGTTCAAAACTTTAATCAATCAAAAATTCTTTTAGAAGACAAATGTTTCATTTTATCACAATATTATACTCGCCAACTTTTTTGTCGTTGTCGTGATTTTGTGCTAGTACTCTAAAAATTTGTCATAATTTTGTAGGAGCAACACTGCTCTAACACTGTATTTTGCAAAGAAATACATCACTTATCAAGCATATCACTCCACACTCATAAATCCAATCCAGTAGCAAATGGTCGGGTTGGGTCAAATGTGAGCGGGTTAAAATGGATAAATATAAAATGAGTAATCATTCAACTCGTCCATATTTGATATGCGTAAAAATGGGTTGGATAAAATACTAATTTATCCTTATTTCATGAATAAATAGTTCTTTACTTGAGAATTCAATATGGAGAAAATAATTTAGTTTTTTTTTATTATAAAAGTAAAAAAAATCTTTTAAAAAAAACTCGGGGTTGTTGGGGGAGGGGGATCCAGGGTAGGGTGAAAAAATAAATATTTAAAGTTGAAAATATTTTTTAAAAATAAACTTGATTTTTTTGGATGGGGTAGAGGTGGGGATGATGGTAGGAATGAAAAAATTAAATTTTGAAGTTGAAAATATTTTTCAAACATAAACTTAATTTTTTTTTTGGGTGGGGGTGAGAGGGTTGGTATGGGGGGAGGGGTCAAGGGTAGGGATGAAAAAATAAAATTTTGAAGTTCAAAATATTTTTTAAAAATAAACTATAATTTTTGTTGGAAAGCGTCGATGGAGGTTGAAAGTTGAAATATTAATAAGGACCCATATATGAATGTTTTGAAAAATCAATTCTAAAACTGGATAACAAAAGATTTTTTAAAACTTCAATGAAAACTTGCAATACTCATATTTGACCCGTAGTCACCCATAATATACCCATATTTTAATGGGTAAAATATAAGTATAATATCAATATTATCCATATTTAGCTAGCGTTTGGCCATAGATTTCCAAATATTCTTGGCAAATATTATTTGAGTGAAAATTTGGGTGAAATTTCACCATGTGTTTGGCCATAAAATTTGGGAAATATATTTCACCTTTTTAGAAAAATATGATTTATACACACAAGTTTTAAAAACTACCAAAACTAACTAAAAGTTTGTATTACAAGTCAATTGAATTTTAGTTACAATAATAACAAATAATGTCCATGACACTGAAGCAATGTGGTAATTTGGAGTGAGTGCAACAAGAATTATTCCATACATCGTGAAGTAGATAAAGTACATGACTTTGTTACCTAAAGCCAATTTTTAATAATTTTCATCAACAATCATATCATTATTTAATATCCACTAAATATTTCATCACTATTTTGGTGTTCACGTAAAAAACGCAAGCAACTAGTAGAAAGGGTGTTTCTGTAAAAGATAAAAGATTGGGGTAAAGTTTTAATTTTTAAAATATCCCAAATATTGATATTTGGCCCAAATACTAGAAAAAACTAGTATTTGGAAATTTGGGATATTTGCCAAAAATATTTGCCAAATAATGACAAATTGTATGAACAAACATTATTTGCCAAATTTTTCCCAAATATTATTTGGAAAATTTATGGCCAAACGGGCCCTAATCACTCTTTCAACTCATATTTAATGAACTATTTGGACGGATCAGTAAAAAATGAGATTGCTGGCACAAATCCAATCTAATCTAATTTGACACTTTGACTTCCTATATGATTATATGTTTGTGATAAAATAATCCAAATCAGTGATTTTACTAATATTGAGTGATATAACCAAACACAACTTCCAATAAAAAAAATATTTGTTTGCACAGCCCCCAGCATTGAGCTTAACCAACACACTGTAGGCATTCATGAGTAAAAGTATCTCACGTCAACCAAATTTCTATTTCCTACTAATAAAACTTACATTTTCCAAACCAAGCAGAAAAGACAACATGAACCAAAATTGCTTAATATGATGTAGTGGGTCTGTGACAATGTTACTAAGAGCCTAGACTCACCATGTTTGAAAACTCAGACAGACATCTCATGTACCAAATTGAGTCTGTAAGACCAATGGAACAGAAATATCGCTACCCCTTTCGTAAATCATTTTCCTTGGAGCGAAAACGATGCATATTACAGAAATTCTGGAATCATCACTAGACCCAAACTGCACAACTGATTTTGTGACCAACTTGTGGATGCCAAAAATACCAAAATAAAAGCTCCAGAACAACAATGAAATCTGTTCTCTTTACTGCAACTGCAAACATAACAAAAAGGCTGTAAAAGTAAAAGATACCTTCAGAATATGTAAAACTGTATGGCTGGTCTTGTATAGTTTTTTTGACCAACCTTTAGTAAATTCAACGCCAATGTGCTATTTAAATGACAACCTGAAGCCATGAACAGCAATAATGATAAATCACAAAGAGATGATTCAATTTCTGAAAACAGATTATAAATCATTTCTGTGCCTAGAGCTTTAAAGCAGTTTTTGCCATTGCGAGTGCTCCTTCATAAGTTCGATTTCCTCCAATAAACCCACTCATATGGACAAAAACACAACCAGGAATTCCTGTTTCCTTGGATAGTTCGTCGTCTCTTAAACCTCGCCACTGAGATGGAAGGGCTTTCCTGCTCTCAAATCTGTCAGGAGCTACAGCCACCGCTTGCACTCGCCAACCTTTGCTCCTATCATCCTACGCATCATGAAGTCAATGTCACTTTATGTTTTCCTGGTAAAATATTGACAGACTCAATTCATTCAGGAAAACGGTGCATGTCTCGAGAAGCAGTGGGGTTATTATCTACTCTCTTCCAAGACAAAAAACACTGGAAAGTGTAGCAACATTATTCCTGAGCATTTTTTTATTTATGACATATAACTTTAACACAAGGCAGATCTTGAGAGTAATTTAATCCGAAAACCCACTTATTCGGTCTAACCAACTGATACAACCAGAAAGTATTCATGGGTGATAAGTTTCCAGAAGTGACCTAAAAGCCACACTATAACCAATCATGCTCCTTAGATTTCCACTGCTCGCATAAAAGAGACCCAAAAACAAAGAACTTAAACAAAAAGATTAGCCAAAAACTAAATGAGGCACATAAAATGAAAAAAGATTAAAACAGCAAAGGACTCAGGCACCTCGTATAGAACATATTTGATGGGTGGATCAATCTTCATCTCTCCTTCCAGCTCAAACAAATGAAGCTTCCACTGTTAGACAGAAAAGTCAAGAATAAGTATATGTCAAGAATAAGTATATTCTCAGCAAGGAATCACACTAGCAAGGAAAGTGAGTGACTGGCTAATCAACCCTATCATACATGGAACATCTTCTACACCTAAAAATACATGCAACATGGGAACCTATATCACTTATGGGATCTCGCTACTCTGGAATAACTTTCCCTTTCTTCATCCAAACAGTTCAGCTGCTTCTTTCTTAATCAATCTATGTGGCCTACAACTCATGATTGTCTCCTCTACATTCCTTGATATTGCCAGCAAGATCAGATGATGAACATGCAAGAATCTGTAACTGCATAGTATTTTGCAGTGCAATAGGATATGATCACTTCAGTGTCTTCCCCACTTTCTCAACACAGAATATTAGCTCCCTACCATTCGCTTCCCTGGATTATTCTTGAGATGAAATCCTGGTTTATATGTGAATATGATATACAAAAAGAACTAGGGGAAGGAATACCTAGTAGAAGGGTTCTTCCTAGCAATGAATTATAATATCTACAACTAAAAAAGATACAGGAGGATCTCTGTTATTTTCAGTAAGTACATAATGTAAACAAATTCGAGTAAAAATAGATTAACTCCACTTTTACTGGCATACAAGTGACATAAAAAAGCTAATATGACATTCAAAAAGCTTGTCCATTCATATTAGTCACTATGAAAGGAAATTGATGAACGGTTTTTCTTATAGAAAAAAAAAAGGCTAATATGTAGTTCCTAATCTTAATTTACATTAAGCCACAAAATTCAAAAACTTTTGGCTCATGAGCAAAACATTTGTAATGATGCAGACTGCCTGATGCAAAAAGGCTTCAGGCTAAGTATTCAATACTTACTGGACAAAATGTAGACCAAACAACAATCTCTCCACTAGGATCAATCTTGTGTCTTGCAGAAACGCACTCCAATACGATAGAACGAGCTGGTAACCATGATCTTGCATAATAGCGGACACTCTGTGTATTAACAAGCATGTTAACTCAGGTAAAAAAGTGAACCATATGCTTATTTTAAAACATATGTCTTCCAGAATTCAAGCAGAAAAATGTATTGAGCAAATGACCGAAGACCGTCAGGTGCCAAAAAGAGCACAATCTGAGAACAAACCATATGACTAGCCAAAGACAACAGTAAGAGAAAACTTTAGCTCTTTTGAGAAAGTCTTACATCCAAGAACTCACTGCCAGCTAAATCCATTGCACGTTGGAAAGCTTCATTCTCCCGTTCAGAAGACTGATCAGGTTCAGTCCAATCCAAGTTAAATCTTCCAACTCGAGAGGACAAGTGGGTATTGTTTACATATCTAGGTGGCTGATCTGTATCGTACTGATTGATTCCATTATCGATTGCATCAATTGCCTGTACACAGTAAGCAAGAATATTAGGCTTACTAATATTGGAGACATGTTAGCTTGATCCTTAAATTATATCACATGAAATCAGCTCCCGGATGCGAGAGTTCAATAAGTAAAACTTGAAAATATTTGTAATAGTATCTACTAAAGAAAAATAAGAATCCAATCACGACATAGATTCAGTCGAAACATCACTTGGTTGAAAATGAAAAGAATCCAAGAAAAAACTATAATTTCTCAGACACAATCCTCACCTCCATGAAGCTCTTGTAAACAGCTAGAAACAACTTATGCACGTCCGGGTGTTCTTCGTCAACTTGGAGCTCCTTTGCAATGATCTCCTTCCCAAAATGCTAAGAAACATGAAGAGGGCAAGTAAATAGAAATTCAACAGTATATGAACTTAACAAAAATAAACTTGGTCTAAGTGATTTTCCAGCCAAATCGGACTAGCTTGGATATAAAATATATCTAACCAACCATCAATCTTGCATATTTTCCTAAAAACTCAAGGAAATGAGATAGATAATGCATCAGCAGAGTAAATCGAGTCGTGACTAGGATGCAACATCTGTTGAATTTAAGCTCACTACAGAATAATTGTTGTACATTCAAAGGATTTAAAATACATCTAGCCAACCACCAATCGGACAATTTTTTCTTAAAATCTCAAGGAAATGAAATAACTAAAGCATTTCCCTTCGGAGCATACCAATTGGTATGAAGGGTGGCTAGTCACTGAGGGCTCGTTTGATAGAGTGTATTAGGGGTCGTTTAAAATGCATGTATTAGCCATGTGTATTACTAATACCTTGTTTGGTACTCTTTTTCAACCTATGTATAACTAATGTTTGCATTATTTATACACTCTACTGTGTATTAAGGTGTGCATTGCTAATGCCATGGATTTCCAGGTATTAGCAATGCAAATGCATGCATTAACATGAATACATGATAAAAGACCCAACGGCCCCTCAAAAGCTTTTTACATCTTTTCCACCATAAAAGTGTGGAGGGTATCTTTGCAAATAATTTTTTTTAATGCAATACATACTATGTTTAATCCATCAAACCAAACATGCATTAAAATAACAAGCATAACGAACACATGCATTGCTAATGCAAGCATTACTTATACACTATTAAGCATTATTCTTATACACTCTACCAACTGACCCCTTACAGGTATGTAATGAAGAGAGCAAATCAACAATCCAAGCTCATAAGTATTTAAAATATATATCCAGCAAATTTTTGTTTTTTGAACTGGCAACTTAATATCCAGCCACTTATCAATCTACAAAAACCTTTTAAAGCTCAAGGAAAAGAAATTACGAAAGCATCTACCATCTGAACATACACAGGACTTGGAATAAAGAAATCATAAGCTATAATTCAAATGAGTTCAAAGGATATAAAGTATAGCCACTAGCCAGCCAATCATTAATCTTACAAAAAACTCAATTTAAGAGCTCGAGGAAAATAAAAAACTGAAGCATATGTCATCTGAACATATTAGTAAGTACGAAAGATGGCTAGTCACTTACAGGATTCATTAAAAACAAATCTAAATCTACTATCCAAGTAATACATCATAGCAAGCCCATCAGCTCAAGTAAACTAAGGTGAAAATTCCTAGCAAAGGGATCTCTAATCTTTTGTCTCTCAGATAAATAACTAGACTAAAATGAAGGCTTAAGTACATTTTTCAGACTAATGATGTTCTTGACAAAATCATTAATCGTGGACAGAAATACTTCTTGGAGAAAGATAAAGATTATCTGCTGCATAAGGGCCTAGTATGTTGAAGAACAGACTCTTATCTAAACTTACTTGTTTTCTGTACTCCCATGAAACAGATGTGATGTACATAGCAAAATCCTTCTGTTTTAAGATCAAAATGAGTAATCCAGCTACACTTATTTTGTGGATGGATGAGTAAACTGCCTACATGTTTCCTCTCAAGAGTTTCATAAGAGTTAGCAAAAGAACCAACTTTAATTTGCAATTAAAACGCTTAGCTCCTACTCATAGACGAGTTCCTTAAAAAGAAAGTGTTTGGTACTTGTTGCTACTGGGAGGTGCCAGGTAACTCATGAAATTAGTCAAGGTGCACAAAGGATGGCTCGGACACCAGTCATCAAAAAAAAAACCGTATGCTTGACTGTCATGTACTTGTTTACCTGTCTCCCTTAACTCCCAGATATCTACCTTGCAAATCAGCAAATATGCTTCATAATTGCAATCCATGCCAGAGTGAAGACCTTAGTCTATGACTGTTGCATGGAAATAAACCAACCCTATAGTTAAAGTACAGGAATTGAGGCAATTCTACTAAACCAATATAATACTCCCTCCGTCCCATTTAATGTGGCACTCTTTCTCTTTTTGGTCAGTCCCAGAAAGAATGTCACCTTAGTATAATTAAAAACAATTTAGCTTTTAAATACCCATTTTACCCTTAATGAAATGATAGTCAACCACACAAATATCTAAGGATTGTCTTAGGCCACATATTTCAAACGTCTTCCTTTTTTTTTCTTAAATAAGCCAACTCAAATGGTGACTTATAAAATGGGACAAAGGGAGTAATTGATTCAGCGCAATGCGTAGCAAGCTTGATGTTCAATTAATTTGTTACCTACCTCATTGTTTGATAAAGTGATGTGTCACCCAACTCTTTTTCTGATAGAGTATGTTGCTGCTCACTTCAATTACAGATGTAAGATAACAAATATACTTTTTCCCTTATAGCATTCTTTTGGGTGTCAGTGAAGGTACTACTTATCTCTCTTATCTTGTATTGGTTCAGTACAGGAAGAAAAAAACACAAAAAGGACCTTGCCATCAGTCTATCCAACCTACTCTCAAGTCTACTTCCAATACCTGGCATATTGGACATGCCTTTGATTACATAACCATCATATATCCTATGAGTTCGTTGTAAGAATGCCAATAGAATTCTAAAAGAGTGCTAAAATCTATCAAATCTAGTTATCCGGCAGGGAGTACTCTTCCATCCCCAAATTCTGTGAAATTTCCAAAATTAGATTATCCATAACAATTTTACTAATGCTTTTATTCTACAAACCTCAACTTCTCTTAAAATGGGAAAAAAGACCACGTAACAATATTCAAAAACTAGACAAACGTCTTTGAAATTCCAAAGAGAAAGACATTACCTTGTAAACAAGACCAGCACTGCTAAGCTTAGTAGTAAATCCATATCCAAAGACTTCTTCAAACCCTTTTTGGTGATGATCATAACGGTCTCGACTAGGATCATAAACTCCACCAACATCTAGCACAGCATCAAGCGTTTCCAATACCTTTCGTTCATTCAAGCATTTCATCAAACACCTCACCTACTTAAAACCCTTCCCAACCATACATCCCTATATGCCCCAATACCACAAAATGCAACTCAATCTTACCTGGTTATCACGAGTACGCACAATCTCAGCATTGTAATACTTGTTTGTAAGACGAATCATGAAGCACCCAAGAGCTTCATCACAGTGAAAGCTACCATGGTGAGTACCTACTCGCTTAGGGGAAACATGGTTTGAAGGGGAAGATACAGGTGAAAAAGACGAAGAATTAGCAGTAGCCATTAGAGAGAATGCGAGAGGACTTTGGTGTTTAAGGAAGTTGAAGGTGAAGAGTTTAGGGTTTTGGAGTAGTGTTCTCGTGAGAACTGAAAACATTTCTTAAACCCTTTTGTTTTAAAAGTGGATCTATGCTAAGTAGTGTTACATTTCTTTTCTGCACAATAGTTACATAGAAAAGATTTTACTAATAATTAGTGGAAAAGTTAGCAATTAAGACAAATTTAAGAACATAATTAATCAAAATAACATTAATTTAAAAATTCTAGTAAAAATGACAAAATAGCAATATGTTATATTAATTGTACGTATTTTAATTAAATATGTATATTTCAGATTTTAGTATATTTTGGTATTATTAAATTAATATATAAATGAAAATACATTGATTGGACCAAAACATGGTCCAATAACATTTAATGAAAAAAAAGAAATTAATTAATTAAATTTTCGTGTAAAGTTCCAAAAAAGCTAAAAATTAAAATCAATTCAAAATTTTCAAGTTCCTTGTTCAAGTTTTCCAGATTTCTTCATCAAAGCCATTGTTATCAAGGATTCAAGCAGATTCTCGAGCTAGGTTCATTATTAAAGCAGATTTCGTGGTGGAAAGGTTAGTTTAAATTTTGATTTTGATTTTTTGAGTGTTTTTTGTTCAAGTTCTGATTTTGTTTATCAAGAATTTATGGACAATTTGTGTGATTTTTATTTTAATATACATCATAAATTATGATTTTGTATTTTTTGTCTATCTCTTGTGATTTTTTTTTTCAATTTTTAAGATTAGGAAAAGTCATTGATTATCAAGGATTCAAGAAGATTTTTAAGCTAGATTCATTATTAAAAGCAGATTTCGTGGTGGCAAGGTTAGTTCAAATTTCGATTTCGGTTTTTTTAGCGTTTTTTGTTGAAGTTCTGATTTTGTATATCAACACTTTATAGACAATTTATGTGATTTTTGTTTTAATATGCATCATACATTTATGATTTTGCATTTTTTGTCTATCTCTTGTGATTTTTTTTCAATTTTTATGATCAGGAAAAACCATTGATTATCAAGGATTCAAGAAGATTTTTGAGCTAGATTCATTATTAAAAGCAGATTTCGTGGTGGCAAGGTTAGTTCAAATTTCGATTTTGATTTTTAGCGTTTTTTGTTGAAGTTCTGATTTTGTATATCAACACTTTATGGACAATTTATGTGATTTTTGTTTTAATATACATCATACATTTATGATTTTGTATTTTTTGTATATTTTTTGTGATTTTCTTTCAATTTTTAAGATTAGGTAGATTATGAAAATTCATATATATATAGAATCATTGTTGTTTGATGTTCAATACGTAGTTGTTAAAAGATTTTTTTTTCTTCAGATTTTTGAATTGTTGGAGGAAAAAACAGTGTATTGTATGCAATGGCTGATTCAGTCAGAATTACTAGAGGTATAAACAACAATATTCAAAATTTTATGGAATTTTCCTCATTTGATTTGTGCATTACTCAAGGAATGATCGAAAATGTAGGATCTGCGGCGAGAATGACACTAGAGTATGAAAGGGCAATTGATAGCTCTTCAAAAAAAAGAAAAGT